GACAGGGTGGGTAGTAAAGAATGCTAACAATTTTGGAGGAGGTTAAATCAACATGTAATTTTAGAACAGGAGATCTTCTGACCTGTGTGTGAAGAATGTGGAGTATAAAAATAATTACTTTTGTTCTCTTCCTGATGATACAAAAAGACAAGAAGCCTCCTCATTGCCCCTTTTATATCCCTGTTCCTCAAAGTGTAGATAAAAGGGTTAAGCATAGGAGTCACCAAACTGTAGAACAGGGACATGAATTTGTTTTTGTCCTGGGAGTTGGCAGAGGGCTGTACATACATTCTAATTACTGGCCCATAGAGGAGAGATACAACAGTATCATGAGAACCACATGTGTTGAAGGCCTCCTTCTTTCCCCCTGAGGACTGAATCCTCAGCACAGCAGCTACAATGAATTCACAGTAAACAAAGATAATTGATTAGAGAACCAGGGACTAAAATATCCTCACAATGGAGAGCATAGATACACTGAATGTGGTGTCAACACACGATATGTTGATCATCGCTGAGACATCACACAGAAAGTCGTCTACCTTGTTGTTACCTCCTAGTGGCAGCTGGACGGCAAGGGATGACTGAAGTAGAGTTGGCCAAACTGCTTAGCCATGCCATGGCCACTAGGAGGACACAGAGTTACTGATGCATGATAGCGGGGTACCTCAAGTGTTTGCAGATGGCAATGTAAGGATCCAAAGACATCACAGCTAAAATGATGCATTTGGTGCTCCCCAAAAATATCCCCTGGGTACCACAATAATTGAGATGTCGCCCAGCAGTGTGCAGAGATAAGCAACAAGCCCCGTTATGAAGAGAAGCATTTCTGGCTGGGGTGGTCAAAGAAACCCCAGAGAATGAAGATCTTTGGAGCAATTGCATTGCCCAGATTCCTAACTGTCATTGCTCTTGTTGGTGTATTTGAGGGAAAGGAAAGGCTTACTTTAGTATTGAATTTTTCTGATAGTCCACTTACTCAGTTAAGTAAAATAAACTAGTTATGAAGGGGTTTTCTCTGCGATGTAACTTCACTGGTGATTTGACACTTGTAAGCATGAAAAATTATGTCTAAAGGCCAAAATGTTACCTTTCTAGTGCCTCTAAAAGGAAGACCAACAAATCTCTATATCTTACCCAAGAAATGCAATATAGCAAACTTTTACGGAATAATGATTAAGTAATGAGAAACATAATTAATCTTATATTAGAAAAATGAATCAAATGGAGAAATGAATAATTTTAAAGAATGCCTAAGAACTACCCATGCTAACTAACACATGTGTTCATTTATTTCATCCAAAATCTGCTGGCCCTTGTCATATTCTGGTTCAATTTATGAGTTCATTTAGGTGAGTTCAGAACTCATTGAGCTCCATGTGGATCAGTCTGATTTGCATAGAAACAACATAATACTATTCCTTACCTCTTCTTCCCAAATCCTGGAATGACGATTTCCAGCATAAAACTTTTGTCACAAAAGGAAGTACATAGCTGAAAGGAAATGGTTCCTTGCAACATGTTCAGTACTTACAAAACAAGACAATTCATTGCACAGCCAAGTGATATAAAGTCATTAAAGAATCAGCAGTTATACAGTATGATGTGTGTTAGTGCTTTTCACACTGTGAGTTGTAATCTATCATACAGTTATATGCTATTTTATTGATTTATTTTACTTATTTTCATCACTCTTTTTATATATGTGTTTGTATGACCTGGATTCTGATGTGCAATATATTCCTTACTACAGGTAATGGTAAAAAATTTGAACAATACTGGCATAGTAGAAAAGAAACAAGATATGACATTAGAAAATCTAGATTTAGTACACTTCCCAATTGTTAATACATGTACATTTTAGGTCTTGTTTAAATATTCAGAACCTCCCTTACCTGTCTTGCTCTGTTGTGGAGATTAGTTAGCACCATATGTGTGACCACGCTTTATAAGGTCCCATATTCAAGGTTGGGTTTGTTATTTTCATGAAATACAGCACTCTGTTTGATTTTAAGTCTATATCTTCTAGTTAATTTTTCTTCACTTTGTATCCAAATATTAACCATGTCCTTATATTCCCATAAGTCTCAGAAGGGTTATTTTTTCTACCATTTTATTTCCCTACATTACTCAGATCACTTGTCTTGAATCTGATGATAATGATTTCTAGATGTTAATACCAGTACACATATGTTTTTAATCAGTGGAAATGCCCACAAATGAAAACAGTACCACAGATTATTTTTCAAACACATGTTTCAATATTTTAAATTATAATGATTAGTATTAGTATTAATAGGTGTCAATTTATTTATACTTTTTTAAACTGCTCCTTGCAGAGCAGGGCTACCCTATAGGCAGTGTGCCCAGAGTAGCCTTTTTTAAAATAGTTTTTTTAGTGTGCAAGTTTTCGTAAGGAGATCACAACATACATGTAGTTGTATAAAAAGATGAAATCAATCAAGTTAAATAGATCATTTCTACTCATATACAGCAGTTACCTAAATCAATGTTGATATTTTCTAGTGGTACCCTCTTTTCTTACAAAAAAGAACATTAATCTTTTTCTTCCATCAAAATTCAATGTTAGTTGGGGATAAAGATTGAATGTTCTTTCTGTATTCAGTGGCCTTATGTCATATCATAGATCTTTAATAGTTATTTATTTATTTGATTGAAAGGATCCCAAATCTTTTTATTGTTTGTTTGTTTATTTATTTATTTATTTATGCTTTAACTTTTTATTAAAATGCTTAGGATACGGATTGATTTTCTTTTGTAAATGACTGTTTCACTTTTTCTGAAATAGGACATATATGCGCTCTAATAAAACAGAATGAAACATCTTAATGCATGAGAATTCTGTACAAGGCGCTGATCTTGTGTTTGGAGATGATCTCCTCACAGCAGCTTCTTTCAGCTATCTTATTACAGGAATAGTGTTCCATGGGGCAAGAAATACATTGGTTCTAACTGATTTTCAATCCCCTTTCTCCAGTGGAATAAACCACTTTCACAAAGAGCTGCCCTACGTAGAACCCACAGTTTTCTAGCTTACAACAAAGTGACTAGGGACAAATAGGGGGAAAAAATCCAAAACTAAAAATAAGACAACCAACATGGAAGCAATCATACTTCTCATGTCTCTGAATAGAGATGTATGGGGAACCTTTAACCAAAGGAAATTTTAAAAAACATGCAAGTTAACTATCTAGTTCATTTGCTGTTAGCTAAATTTGTTCACTTAAGGCTTTAACCTCCTTCCAAACAATTTTGTCTTAATCTAGCTATGCTTGCTAATAAATGAAAAGAATGCACTTCCCAGAAATATACTTTATTGAGCCTCTGCATTCGGTACCTGACAGTGAAAAAGTATGCTTTTCCAATAAGTCAGTACTGAAGACCGAGAACTCCAACTACATAACTATACCCTCTCACCCCAGTAATATGTTATCCACATCGTCCCTAGCCTCACATTAGAATAAAGATAGCCTCCCAACTTTTCATCTCCTATCTCCTGTCTTTTCCTAGGAGATCCTATCTTTTGATCTTTTACTACTAGGGTAGAATTTAGGTTAAGATAGTAAAAATCTAATTTCACATGTGGCACTAAGAAAATGGAATGCTATAAAATGAGTCCTCATCACCGTGGTAGGGATGCTGTTGCTTTTATACTGAGTCTTTACTGCTAGTAAGTGATGCTGCCTCCAAAGGAACAGCTCTATAGAAAGTTTTTGAGTTAAGTGTTTCCCCCAGCTTATTTCTGTAATGGAGAAAGGCAATTTCATATTTAAAAAACTCTCCACACACACACCTGTGGAAGGTCTAGATGTTTTCCTTTTTTTTTTACACCCGCGCCATATATATCTCTGGGGATATGATGTGTGAGACCGAGCTCTGGGGAAATCTCCTATAGAGCCCATTTTCTCCATGTGGATTTTTTAGCGCCCTGTGTGTATTTTTTTTGTGTTTTCACACGCGTTCTACTATATTTTTGTGTTCTCCTCTCGGGGTTTTGAGCGCTTTTGCTGTTTACTTTTTTCTTTTTTTCTTTTTCTGAAAATTTTTTTGTTGGATTTTTTGCAAAGTTACTTGCCCCCCTTGCGTTTTTTGCCACCTTGGGGGTTTTTTTAACTCTTTTGTGAGGTGAAAGTCACTTTTTAGAACTGAAAATGAAAAAGGAAGGTGCTATAGAGGGAAATGAAATTTCACCAAAGTATAAAAGCAAATACTGGCTGAAGTCTATAACTTTATAAATAAGAATAATAATAACTTATACTATAATTATCTGCTCAACAGTGAACAGTCTGCTACACATTCCTTGATGAGGAATGACCCTAGCTTACCACAGTGGAAACCTGCCACAACTACAAGACCAGGTTCTGCCCCTTTTCTAGTTCTCTGTTCAGAAGGTAATGCCACCTTCTCCAAGGCAGTTAGAGAGACAGGTGAGCTCAGGGAGCTTCTCTCACCAACCTGCTAACTCAGCAGGAGTGAGTTCACCCAAATGAGCTCTGGCCTCCAATGTGTGTATCTGCTCATAATTTTATGAAGTATCTAAATGGCATTCATTACTTAAAAAAAGAATAGAAAACTCTGGACTAAGTAAATTTTGGACTCAGAAAGTTAGAAGGGGTATCAATTATATTAACAACACTTTCTTTAGAAATAGAATCATTTTCTTTTGAAATCAACCAGAGTGATGAGATGTGTTTTTCTTTTCAGGTGCGCCATGATGGTGCACAGCTTCACTCAGCAAACCCTGCCAGCTTCCAAGCCCCAGGATGCTGACCTGCACCAGCATGTGGGGGAGCATTACCTCCCCAACAGTGTGGAGAAGAGAACATTTCACCACTGGGTGATGAGAGAGTTGACAGAGATTCTTGGCTTCTCAACGCCAGACGTGATTGGAGATGATTGGAGACCTTTCCTCGTTCTATTAGAAAAGTCCATGAAGAAGCTGTGAATAGGATCAGTCCAGAGAAGAAAAACTCTTATTTTCACTGTCCAAACATCAACCAATATATTGGGAGAGCCAGCAGAATCCCTCGCCCTAGCCTTGCCTCTTGAGCACGCTGCACACGAACACTTCCACAGGGTGAGCGTTCAGCTCTTAAAGGGCCACGTTCCTCTTTCCTGTGGTCTATCCAGAAAGCCCAAATATCTCAAAGAGTTTTTCTTCACTGATTGCATTGTTCTGTCTATTTTGTTACCCAGGATGAGGATTGGCACATTGGATATTATTTCATCAGTCATTAAAGCATTAAGCTCAACTTTGGATTCCATGAGACCAGAATGACCTGCAGAGTCCATCAGAAAAACAATCCCATTAATTCCTGGGAGATAATTTTTTCAAACCTGACATGGTTGCTTGTGTCCACCAAGATCAAAAGTTGTAAAAGTCATTCCAGCAATTATTAGCTTTTCTGATGTCAGATGTAGTGTTGGAACATGTTGACCCAATCTGTCATCTTTGAGCATGCGAAGAAGAGTGGTTTTGCCTGCATTGTCCAAACCCAAGAATACAAGTTTTCCAAATTTCTTGTAGAGTCCAGGAACTGGAGAACACTGCTGAAGCCATTGTAGATCCACTCAAAGATGAAAGACATTATTCATGCTTACTATGTCCTGAAGGGCTCCTCTTGCAACAGTGGGTGGCCTGGGCCCTCCCTCAGAGCACACCCCAAATATTTTCAGATATGAAAACCTACTTACTCTTTAGAGGTAAGGAAGGTACTTCTAAAAAATTTATTGTATTTTATTTAAGTTCTGGGATACATGTGCAGGATGTGCAGGTTTGTTACATAGGTTAAACGTGTGCCATGGTGGTTTGCTGCACCTATTAACTCATCACCTATGTATTAAGTCCAGCATGAGTTAGCTATTTTTCCTGCTGTTCTGCCCCCTCTCCACCCCTGGACAGGCCCCATTGTGTGTTGTTTTCCTCCCTGTGTCAATGTTTTCTCATTGCTCAGCTCATCACTGCATGAGTGAAAACACACAGTGCTTGGTTTTCTGTTCCTGCATAATGGCTTCCAGCTCCATCCATGTCTCTGCAAAGGACACGACTTTGTTCTAAAGGTACTTAAAAAAAAGTACTTTATAGGCTTGTCACTCACTGTATAAAGCTGTGAAACTTTGTTCCCCATGCAGATAATACAGTTGAAATTTCTTGGTAAGGGTCATTATAGCAATTCCTTAGTGGGTATGCTTCCCTCTAACTTCCTTGCCATAATAAAACGAAACGATAAGTTTTGGCACCTGTTATTTATAATGGACTCAGGACTAAGAGACTCCAAGGAAACTGAATCTGCCTCAACAATTTTATAAATTTCCTTGGATCACAAGGAGGAAATTAAGATTATTATTTTGGGTGCCAAGATCCAATTTTATTTATAGTTTTCTCAAGATATTATTTCTTTAGATTTCTGCTACAATAGAGCCATCATAATCCTAGTTCTACATACAGACAAAAGAAGTCTTCAGTAATTTCTTCCACAATAGCCCAACACAGTATGGACTTTTTACCTACCATTGACTAAAGTTCCTCATTTTATTTAAACCATAAAAACATTGTGTCAAGAAGATGTTAACATACATTAATGTTATTTAAACATGATTAAAAATCATGGAATCTAGAACTTTGAAAATATGGGTCCAGAAAACTTTTGGCCATGGGCTTGTTTTTAAAGTAATTGCTTTTTTCACCCATGCGTCACAATTAGCAGCAGATCTAACAATCTGGAATCCTTCTAGCCAAGTTCACACTGATCATCTCAGGCTTGTTCTTCGTTCCCACTTTTGTTTTCATCATTTGCTGCGTTCTATAACTATATTCAGCTTCTGGTCCTTTATTTTTTAAAACAATATTTAATTTACAATAAAGATTGTATATATTCAAGGTGTACAGTGTGATTTGATATATGTATACTCTTTGTTTTTATTTCTTTTCTCTGTAAATCCACTACCACCCAATTCATTATTGAAGCTAATGAATACATTTGATTTATTCTCTGTAACCCTCAGCTTTATGTAGGGATGCAGTATATATATTTACCTGTTATAGCTTTAATTTTAAAACATTATCCTTTTTGATTGTATTAGTTTCCTGTGTCATCATACCTGGTATGGAAATGAAAAGCGAATAATAAATTTTTACTACACAGTTAATCCAGTTAATGAATCAAATGGAAATAGAGAAGCACAACTAAAAATGAAAAGCAATCAATGAAGAGGGGTATTTACATTATTATTCATTATTTTACATTAGATAATTGGTGCATATATTAAACAATGCTGGAGTATGAAGTAACCATCTTGACCTCTAATACTGCTCCTCAGGACCACTTTTGAGTGGTCACTATTGGGAAGGGAATGGGTATGTTTTGTAAATGGTTGAGAAATTAAAAACAAATATTTAGCAATCAGAATTTTAAACCCTGATACATTGTATTATTATCAACCAAATATTCTGTGCCTTCTCTGTGGGATAGTTGAGAGACACACTCTATTGTTGGAAAAGGAAATCTTTGTTATCTCGTCCATCACTACATTATAATTGATGTAGAGCATGATATCTGCCTTTTCTATTTTCTAATTTTTTTTTTTTTTTTTTTTTGCAACTAACCAGTTTCCTCTCTGCCACTGCATGGTGTATGTGGTAGGATTGTTTGCTTTTTAGTTTACAGTTCACCAGATAACTGGAGCATGTATACCCAGAACTAAGACAGGAGTATGTGTCACTCAGAGACCCTCTATTCTATAACTTGATGAGGCTTCAGGGCTGTGTCTTTTGGGCCTGTCTCTTTTGTGTCATTCATATA